GGAAGAAGAGGAGGTGGAGGAGGAAGACGACTCGACGCTGCAGAAGATGTGGGGCGCCATGATCAAACAGAAACAGGAGCGTGTGACCCACAAGATGAAGAAGAGCCGGCTGGACAACCTGCCGTCGCTGCAGATCGAGATCAGCCGCGACAGCAGCGACGACTCCGACGCCTGAAACCGACGACGGAGGAAGAGAGCGCCAGAGTTTGTTTCTCTCGAACTCGAACTTCAAGTACAACAATATACAGACATGAAGCTGTCAGACTGCAGATCTGAGGCCAGTGTGCTGCGTTTTCTTTTATTGTTTCAGTGTGTATCTGCAGTCTGTGGATGGGTTAGTGACGGGGTCCACCAGGCACAGACCCAGGGGCCCTCAGGGATAAAGGGCCCCTGTTTGTAGAGACCGTTAACATTTCCTATTGTCCTGATCAGAGTCTCTTCATATCGAGAATCTGCAAACAAACACAAACAGTAATGTCGTTAAAAGGCCCAAATCTGGTGTAGCAGCATGAATTTCTTCTAAAGTCTCTTTTCATCTGAATACTGAAGTTCAGCTGCAGCATTTAAACCAACAGCAAAGTGTCACTAACAGACACAACGCGACCCCGGAGACTCAACCAGAACCATTCGTAGTTTTTCCTCCCAGAATACAGAATATTCTAATAATCCCATGAAGTGCTCCAACACCTGAGAGCTCTGGTTCAAAATAGCCGCCTCCTTCAGGGAGGGGTCCTGCTCCACTGTGGGGGGGTCGTCATCCATCCTCGCTCCTGTTGGTATTTAACAGCCACACTCTCCCGGATGTTCGGGATGAAACAGAGCATCATGGGAAACCCCATCAGATCTCCTCTCCTGGTTCTGTACATCGTCAGTAAATCATTCCTACGTCGCACGCCGTCGGCCTCGTGAACCACCAGCTCCGACTTTTCCCCCAAACTGAGACGTCCTCTGAGAATTGAACCCTCAACCTGGTGGTCGACGCTCGGGACCAACGAATCTGCATCAAATCCAACCTGATACAAAACTTCATTTACAAAACGTGTGTTTTTACGTTGCATTGACCCGGTTCAGTGTGAGCAGAGCGGTGCTGTTCGTCCTCCCTGTGGACAGCGAGGGGAAGACGGACAAAGACGAGAGGATCAACAACAGACGGACAGACGGAAACAATCCGACTCGAGCTGCAGACGCCTCGTTGTTTGTCTTCGTGTTCGTCTTAACGCAGAAAGAACTGATGAGACTCTTGGAAGAAAGAGGGTTTATTGTCTGATGGTAAATCTCCTCAATGCGACATTTTGGTACATTTTTTAATCACTTTGTCTGTTATTGAACAACATGGGAGCTCCTGTAGCGGTGTGTCTGTATTTTACTTCTGCTGTCTCTGGTCACATCATCTGTGTTATTTTGTCTCTGTCATGTTTTTTATTGAAACGTTGGGGGCCACAGGCGACGTCACTACTGCTCATGAATTTAAATGATTATTAAAATGTTGGCTGGTGCTTTATTTTCCATGTCTGTAATTTCCGAATGATTTCCTGAGTTTAACCACAAAGAATGATGTAATTATAGAGACAATAGAGACGCCTTTAATTCAGCTGAACATTTGTCCACAGGAAACATTTGTGACAAATAAAGTTGCCAATCATAATAATTACAATTATTTTCATCATCAGTTTGACTCATTTATGGAGTAAACACAAACCATTTATCGGCTGCAGCTTCTGGATTTTGCTGCTTTTTTCTGTCAGAGTGGATAAATCCAATCAACTTATTTTATTTGTTGTTAGTCAAACTCATCATCTTAAAGTTTAAGATCTGTGATCCAAATGAAGTTAAGAGCCAAACAGATGAACAGACAGCAGACGGTAACTAATAACTGTTTATTATGAATAAATAAACTCTGTTCTTCTGTATATCAGCTGTCAGTTAAAGGTTATTATAAACCTATCACTGACACTAGGTGTCGCTCTAGAGAACCAGAATCTCACTAAAACAATTTCAGCTACAGCCAACCAGACTCCATCAACAAAACCCAGAAGAAATATGAGTGAAAGTGAATTTGCTCTGGTTGTTTTCTTTGTGACGTGATCTCAGAGCAGTGTGATGGATCATATTTCCCTTTAAAATGAGACACAGCAGTCAGCTGACAAAGCTCCGCCCCTTAAAG